CCTGTGATCTAAGCAGGTGACCTCGTCCCAGTGGACCACCCAGAGTAACCAGAAGGTTCACTCCAGCGGTACAAAATTCACCTCTTCAATTGGCGCCGTCTGTGGGAACGCGAAGACATCAGAGTATGAAGCCTACGCGTTCTAAGAGCAGGAAGGCTCTCACCATTGGTGCTGAGCAAAGCAATGCAGCTCAACAGGAAGATATTTCCGAAGGGCATGAGTCTCCGAGGACCCAGCCCGCAAACGAAGAAGCCATCACTCGTATGGCCGAGTTTGTAACCGAGAACCCCAACATCTTCGAGGAGTTGGGGAGATATTTAAAGAGGCAAGGCAAGCAGAAGGCTGAGTCCTCTAAAAGAAAGTCAGATGGATCTCCTGAAGGTTCATCTGAAGAGGAGTCTGATGGGAGGCGCCTAAGCCGGAGTGCGTCGAACTGAGCGTTTTCCAAGGCCACCTCTAAGGTAGCCTCCCTAAATAAGGCCTTTTCCCGAGGTCTCCTGGGGCGACGACCTGAGGAAGAACCTCGGCCCCTGGGAATACCCGGGGTGAATTATATGAGAGCCCCGCCTTTTACTGACGACATTAACGAGGAAAGGCTTCCTCCAAACTTCAAGCTCCCTGCGATACCGTCTTATGACGGCCGAGGTGATCCCGAGGATCACATTCATGCCTTCATCTCGGCCTTCCGCTTATACTGCATCCCTGACCCTGTCATATGCCGAGCTTTTCCAGTGTTTCTCCGGGGGACAGCTCGAAAATGGTTCTGGGGATTAGAGCCTAGGAGCATCTCGACTCTGGGGGAATTAGTGGAGAGATTCCTCCATCGGTTCATCTCCTCCCGACCTACGACCAGGACCTCGGCTTACTTGCTGAACATGCAGCAGAACCCGGGGGAGTCACTTCGGTCGTACGTCCAGAGGTTCCATGAGGAAAGCGTACAAATACCTGACCCCAATGAGCAAGTCACCATTGCTGCATTCACCCATGGGCTTGTGTCCGGAGTGTTCAACACGGGGATCCACAAGAAGTATCCCCGCACACTCCACGAACTATGGTTGAAGGTCGAGAAGGGCATACAGGCCGAGGACCTCAACCGCATGAAGAAAGAAGTCCAAACTGCTCGCCCGAGGGCTGACCCCCGAAGAGGGAAGGAGGTCGGCCGAAGTGAAACGGGGACAGGAAGCGGCTTCCAAAGTCCCGGCCGGGATCGGCGCAGTGTGTTCGATAGGATCTCCAAGGGGAAGTCACCCATCCCAGAGTCCGAACTGACTCCCCTTAACACCACCCGATCTCGGGTGTTGTCCGTAATGGAACAAAATAACCTCGAAAAAGCTCCTCCCAAGATGTTCGGCAGCAAAGACAAGAGGAACTCAAACCTCTACTGTCTGTATCACCGGGACATCGGGCATGAAACTGAGAACTGCAACGATCTCAAAAAAGAGATCGAGAACCTCATCAGACAGGGGCACCTGAAGCAGTTCATCCGCCGAGGTGGAGGTCAGAAACGTAATGAACCCCGACGAGATAACCGGGGTGATCAACGCCGAGACGAGAGGCGGCCCTCCAGAAGCAGTTGCAGGCCTCCAGAGGATCCTAGGGAGACAAAAAGGCCTCCCCGAGACGGATCCTCAGGACATGGATTAGGGTACAGACCCAACATAGCCGGGGTCATCAATATAATTATCGGAGGTCAGACGGGAGGAGACAGCCAGAACTCCCGGAAGAGGACCTACAGGCAGGCTAACCCGGATCAGGCTGAGTCGAGTTTTCGTCTATCCGAGGTGATCACCTACGGGCCCAGTGACCCCGTCCCAGCTGCTTCGAGCAGTCATGAAGCTTTGGTGATTGAAATCCTCACCAACAACTACGTTGTGAAAAAGGTCTACATTGACCCGGGAAGCTCAGTTGACGTCAAGTACCTCCGTACCTTTGAAAGCCTTAAACTGGCCAGGGAGCGCATGACCCCGGTGAGAACCCCTCTTGTAGGGTTCGGGGGACACGTTGTGCACCCCGAAGGGATGGTGGCTTTGACAGTGACTGTGGGACGTCACCCCCGCTGCCGAACCATCCCCGTCAACTTCGTAGTAGTTAAAGCTGACTCGCCATACAACCTACTCCTAGGTCGACCTACACTTAATGCCTTGCGGGCAGTATACTCTACCTATCATTTAATCTTTAAGTTTCCTACTCCTGCGGGGGTGGCCGAGGTCAGCAGGGACGTCTGCGCTGCCCGAGAGTGTTACCTCGCCACTCTACAAGCAGCCTCCCCATCAACCTCTAGAGCGAGGCCCGAGAAGAGGTCAAATATCCTCTCAATAGATAGCATCGATCCTCAGCGAGCTGAGAAGATCCCGAGGCTGGAGACTGGGGATGAGGTGGAAGAGTTCCCCTTGGACCCCACAAAGCCTGATCAGACGGTTCGTGTGGGCACCCGATTGCCAGGTCCGACTAAAAGAGATATGGTGGACCTCCTCAGAAAATACCGGGACGTCTTCGCTTGGGCCGCAGAGGAGGTTCAAGGAGTCCCGCAGCACCTCATGATACATGAGTTGAACGTCGATCCCCAAGTCCGCCCGGTTAAACAGAAAAGAAGGCACCTCGGCCTTGAGCGCAGCCGAGCTGTTGGTGAAGAAGTGGACAAGCTCCTCCCTGCGAAGATCATTCGTGAGGTTCAATATCCGACCTGGTTATCCAACCCGGTCATGGTAAAGAAGGACACCGGGGTTTGGAGAATGTGAGTCGACTTCACCGACCTCAACAAGGCTTGTCCCAAGGATTGCTACCCCTTGCCCAAAGTCGACACCCTCGTGGACTCGGCAATGGGTTACGAGGTCCTCTGTTTCCTTTACGCCTTCAAGGGGTACCACCAAATTGGGATGAGTCAGGAAGACCAAGAAAAGACGGCCTTCTACACTGACCGAGGAACATATTGTTACACCACCATGCCCTTTGGGCTAAAGAATGCCGGGGCCACGTATCAACGCTTGGTCAACCAAGCCTTCAAATCCCAGATCGGACGAAGTGTCGAAACCTACGTGGATGACATTTTACTCAAGTGCCAGACGACCTCTTCCTTCCTCTCTGACCTGAGAGAAGCCTTCGATGTCCTCCGGAAGACACGGATGATGTTGAACCCCAAGAAATGTGTCTTCGGGATCATTTCGGGAAAATTCTTGGGATACCTCGTCTCGAGGCGAGGCATCGAAGCGAATCCGGATAAGGTGAGAGCAATTCAAGAAATGTCTCCACCTCGATGCGTCCGCGACGTACAGAGGCTGACAGGGCGATTAGCCGCCCTGAATCGATTCCTATCACAATCAGCTTCCAAGGCGTTACCCTTTTTCAAGGTCTTAAAGAAGGCTGACAGTTTCTCTTGGACTGAGGAGTGTCGGCAGGCCTTTGAACAATTGAAGGAATACCTTCACCACCTCCCAACTCTTACCTCACCTCGCCCGGGAGACAAGTTATTCCTGTACCTATCCGCTGCAGCCGAAACTGTAAGTGCCGTGCTGATAAGGGAGGAAGGTGTACAAACACCTGTTTATTATGTCAGCCGAGTCCTCCGAGGTCCGGAGACCAAATACACCCAGGCGGAGAAGCTCGTGCTGGCCCTAATCCATGCAGCCCGTAGGCTTAATCCCTACTTCTTAGCCCACCACGTGTGCCTAAGGACTGACCAACCACTCCGGCAAGTCTTGTCACGGCCTGAGGCCTTTGGACGCCTTACCAAGTGGGCTATCGAGCTGGGGGAGTACGACTTATCTTACGAGCCTCGCACGGCAATCAAAGCTCAGGCCCTCGCGGACTTCCTAGCCGAACTCACCTTCGATGAGGTGAATAAAGCCACCCCGGCTACCACCCAGGCAATTACACCAGCCACAGCCGAGCCACAACGGTGGATTCTGCATGTGGACGGCTCATCCAACAGTGAGGGTAGTGGAGCAGGCTTGCTCCTCGAAGACCCCCTAGGAGAAATATGCTCATATGCCTTAAGGTTTGATTTCGCTGCTTCTAACAATGAAGCTGAATACGAGACTGTCATTGCCGGCCTGCAAATAGCCCGTAAGCTTGGGGTCGCGCATATCCTAGTCTATAGCGACTCCCAACTCGTCGTGTGCTAAATACTAGGCCAATACGAGGCCAGAGAAGAGGTCATGCATCGCTACCTCTCCAAGGTCCTCCAGCTGGTGGCGCACTTCGAGTCCTTTCAAATCCAAAGGATACCGCGATCACTGAACAGGAGAGCGGACGCTCTTTCCCGGCTCGCCTCTACCTCATTCTCCGACCTGAACAAAGCAGTCCTCGTAGAGGTCTTAACCGAGCCGGGGTACGAAGGAGAAATAGTATACCCCGTTTACCCTGGGGACACCTGGATGGGGCCGCTAATTCGCTTTCTCAGCCGAGGTGAACTGCCCGACGACCGAGCAGAGTCAAGGAAGCTCCAACGTAAAGCGGCTCGGTACACCCTCCGACAAGGCCTCTTGTACAAGAGGTCTTATCTCGACCCTTGGCTGCGGTGCATTACGTCGGAAGAAGGCGAAAGGATTCTACAAGACATACACGAGGGACTCTGTGGTGCTCACGTTGGCTACAGGATGGTCGTTAAGAAAGCCTTACTACTTGGGTATTTCTGGCCCACCATGAGGGTAGATGCCCAGGTCATGGTCCTTAGTTGCCCTTCTTGTCAGCACCATGCCCCTAAGCACCACCAGCCGACCAATCTCATGATCCATATCACCTCGCCATGGCCATTCGAGCAATGGGGAACTGATATTATCGGTCCATTCCCCAGGGCTCCAGGGAATTATGCCTACGTGGTGGTGACAGTGGACTACTTTACTAAATGGGTTGAGGCAGAGCCTCTGAGAAGTATCACCGGGGCTGCTGTTCAAAAATTCTTTTGAAAGAATGTGGTCTGTCGCTTCGGCCTGCCCCGGGTGGTCGTCTCGGATAATGGCAGGCAGTTCGCGGATAATCCTTTCAAAGCATGGTGTGAAAACATGGGGATTAAGCAGCATTTCACCTCGGTTGGACACCCTCAGGCAAATGGACAAGCTGAAAACTTTAACCGAACTCTCCTCCATGGCCTTAAAACCAGGCTCCACAGGGCTGGATCGTCGTGGATGGAAGAGCTCCACAGCGTGCTGTGGTCCTACCGAACTACGCCGAGGTCAGCAACCCAAGAGACCCCGTTTTCCCTAACTTATGGGTCCGAGGCCGTCGTCCCAGCCGAATTCATCACTGCAAATCCACGTATGGCCGCATACGCCGCCGAAATCAACGAGGAGAAACGACGAGTTGACCTCGACCTCGCCGAAGAGAAGCGTGATATGGCTGCGGCCAAGGCTGCCATCTATAAAAATATCCTAACTGGCTATTACAACGCTCGAGTTAAACACTTGCGATTCAATCCAGGGGACCTCGTGCTCCGAAAAAACTCGGTCAGCCGAGCTGAGCCTCAGGGTAAATTAAATCCCAGGTGGGAGGGACCCTATCGCGTTGTTGAGTCCAGCCAAAATGGATATTGTAAATTGGCATACCGAGATGGATCTCGGGTGCCCCGAACTTGGCATGCTGAAAATCTTAAGTTGTATTACCCTTGAAGGGTATGTGCTTTTAATTTTAAGTTGAGTTATTTCTCACTTACTCTCTTTTTATTACAAGTGAAAAATAAGGGGACAAAGCAGTAGTCAAAAGAACAAAATTGAACTCAATAAAAAAGAGGCAAAAGTATGCAAGAACAAAAGGCCAATTTTATTTAAGCACGAAGAGCAAAAGGCCGAGGTTATTTATGACCTCGGCCCCTAGAGTACAAAAGTGAAAGTCCGAGGTCGTAAATGACATCGGCCCTCTATTACAAAACACGAGTGCTTCTAAGCACCCCCTGCCCCGGGGTCCTGTTCACCCAGGGTCTCTCCGCTTGCCTCGGCGTCCTGCTGTCCTTCCTCTCCTCCGCCGGCCTGGCCCCCTTCAGCACTGTCGCCATCCAGCTCGAACTCCTGGAGCCACTTGTTGAATTCATCTCGGATTTCGGCCAGGTCTTTTCCAGCCTGGATGCCCTCACCCACGCGATCGCATAGTTTCTTGGCATCCTCATTATAGTGTGAAGCACACTGAAGGGACTCCAGCTGCTCAGGGGAAAAAAAGGATGCCGCATCATTAATGGCCGACGTGTAGCCGAACATGAAACTCGGCCGAGTGAGCTCACCGAGGTCACGGATGAAAGACTCCGACTTCCGGAATGCCTCCACGGCGGTGGCCCCGGCTTTGTCCATTGCCACCTTGGATGACTGTTCTTCTTGAGCTCTCCTTCCCCTCTCCTCATCAAGAGCAGTTACGAGGGAGTTGTTTGCAAACTCGGCCTTGTCTCGCTCCAGCTCGGTGGCCCTTAGCTTCCCTGCCAGATCGGCGATCTTCTTCTGGAGCTCGGCAGGTGATTCATACGTCTGTACGAAGTGCCCGAAGCGTTGGTACATCTCAGCCAAGAAAGCCGTGGTGGAAGCCCAGGAGACCGAGGCGCTTTGCATCAGCTCGGCGGGTGTGAGTTTCCTGGTGTAGGTATTGTCCCGGGGTAGGACCGAATGCACCAGGAGCTCGTGTGCGGTTCGGGGATCTTTGCATCGGTCGTTCACGCTTATATCCCACTCCGGACAGTACTGTGCGCCGTTGTGCCTTTTGTCCTCCCCCGCCGCTACGGAAGACACATGGTGGAGGTTGAATAAGGAGGACCCCGTGACGGGGTTCTCCGGAGTGATAGCTGCCGCTCGACCCCGAGGTGAAGAGGCTATAGTTACTCCACGGGAAAGAACTCCCACAAGAATGGAAGAAGATTTGGACTTCCCCCGCGCGCCCGAGGTGTGCGAGCCCTCGCCTATGATCACCACGGCGGGCTCACGGTCGCCCGTTGCCGTGGTGGTTTTCTTAGCCTGTCTGGTGGAGGGTTCAGCAGTATCCTTGCGCTTCTTAGGTGCCCTCTTCGCCACCTTGGCCCCTCCCGAAGTTATCAGGTCAGAAACCTTCACCACTGCAAAGAATGAAATAGAGTCAGTTAGAATTCAAGAAGGATAAACAAAGGAGGGAAATGGAAAAGTACAAGGTATCTTGAGCCTAGAAGAGAATAAGATGGGATGATCCGAGCTGATCAAGGCTCGACTGAGTCCGCCTTCCACGAGCACCCTCTCGGGGAAGTCCCAACAGTTAATCCTGAGACCTGTCCCCAGTAGCTTCTTGAGGTTACGTTCCTCCAGCTTGCCCGGGGAGGTTTCTTTTGCCGAGGTGGGAGGCCTCCACCAGAACCCCCGAGGAAAGTCCTCGGCCGGGACGAAAACGAAGTTTCATTTCCACTCCTTTATTGAGCTCGGGGCGTCATACACCAACTTCGGAACCTTATTTCCGAAGTAGAACCAGCCCTTCTCACTCCCGTTGTTCTTGAACGAGTAACAGCGGCGGAAGAGGTTGACCGTGGGCTCTATCTTTTGATGTCGGCAGAGCAACTGGAAGCCGACAAGAACGCGAATCGCGTTAGGGGTGAGCTGAGTGATTCTCACCCCCCAATACCTAAGGCAGTCACGAAGAAATCTCTTTGTTGGCATCCTGAGCCCGGCTTCCAGTTGTTCCACATATATAGCCACCCTATCCTTCGGTGGCAGAGCGGCTGACTGTTGTGGCCGGGGTACATAAATGCTGTAGTCCTTCCTCCAGGGGTATTTACGGACCACCTCGGCTGTGGAGGCTTTCTCCATGCTACTGCTGAAGCTCGGCATCTGGCCGTAGTTGAGCGTTGCCACATTCGGAGGAGTGGAAGGTTCTTGTACACCTTCGTCCCTAGGGACTTCATTCCCGAGGTCATCGTTGTATAGGACCTCGGGGTCGACTTCAATTTCCACAGCCTGCTCTTCCGGAGTCCTGGCTCGATGAGACGCCTCTGCTTGGTGAGACGCCTCGGAACCTCCTTCTCTGACGTCGGACAAAGTTCTCTCCTCGGAAGGGTCGTGCCTCTCCGCCTCGGTAAAATCCGGTCTCACTGTTTCTTTATGAGTGCGAGCCGTTCTAGCCATTATAACAGAAGAGGAAGAAGTGAACTTACTTTGAAGAAGTTGCTTTAAGAAAGTGCCGAAGTGAAAAAACACAGGAATAGGGCTCTGAAGCGATTTCGAATTTTGGTAAAGGATGAAACGGTGAAAAAGGCCTTCATTTATAGGCAACAGGGGAAAGCCGAAGAGGCGCGGCCTTTGAGATTCCCTAAAGCTTTCTCCCTCTCTCCTCATTAATGGAGGTGCTGTTCCTCTGACACTCGATTTCACTGATCCGACGTTAAAGCTGACAACCGTTTTCACCTCTCTCCTATTCCCATCTGTACGGTCGTGACGTGTCCCTGCTATGTTCCGTGCTTTACACGCTCGTTAGCCTCGGGAAGGGACGACTTCGGGAAACCACGACCTCGCTCTTCTCGAAGCTTGAGGGGCTTAGTGAGGATGGCCATCTCGGCTCGGCCAGTCCGAGGCCTTATTCTGTGGGGTCTCCTGAAGCCCCACATCGGCACTGAGAATACCAACGCGAATGCAACCTATTTTACCACTTCGGCTAGGAACTCCGGGTCATACACCGAGGTGACACCAGTATAATAAATAACTGCTGAAGGCGGGAAAGGGCGTCTGGCATAGGTCATTGGAATGATAAAAAGCTGCTCTGACACCTGCTGTCTGTATCTGACCACTGCCCTTGCACAGCCTTTCACACTGACCAGTCAGATCAACATGATATGACATTCTTGTCAGATCTCTGGGGACCCGTGTTGACAGTCCCTCTCTCCAAATTGTACCCTATAAATACCCAACAACTCCGTTGAGGAAGGGGATGACGACCAATCTCCTGGTAAAACCACACTAATACTCTCTTCTATTTAGCTATTCCCTCACTCCCGAACTGACTTAAGCTTCGGAGTTCTACTGGGGCATTCAGCCCCTCCTGTGATCTAAGCAGGTGATCTCGTCCCAGTGGACCACCCAGAGTACCCAGAAGGTTCACTCCAGCGGTACAAAATTCACCTCTTCAGTCAACAAAATAGGTGAAGGGTGAGGGAGAGAAAAGTATGACAAGGAAGAAGGAAGAAGAAGAGGAGGGACGAGGTGATAGTTATGGGAGAGTACAGCAGTAGGGTGGTGGGGATGGGGAGTGATAGTGGACAAGGGTATTGGGTGGCAAGAGGATAATGGAGAAGGAAGAAGAAGTGGTGAAGTTGGTGTGCGTGTGTTTTTTGGTTAATTATATTTACCGCCTTTGAGGTTTGGGTAAAATACGGATCAGCCCTTGAGGTTTGGGATATTTTTTAGAAAAGTTTACAGTAACAATTATTTTGACATTTTTGCCCCTGAAAACCTACACTATAAGGTCAAGTGTCCATTTTTCCCATTGATTTACCTGTTAAATTTGTCAAAGTGACCCGAATGGTGCATTTTTTCTAGTTGAGTGACTTTTTTATCACAAAAAAGTTAAGTCACCAAACGTGCTATTTTGAAATTACCATTTTGGCCGTTTACTGTTAGTGTTACGGTGTTATCTTTTATTATTTATTAAGATTTGAATGAAATCCCTTCTACTCGTTCTATCTTTATTGCTATTAGTGCGGGATTTAATGAATAAATGAAATTGTATTCTTTATAGAAAAAACAAATTGTAACTTTTGATCTCTTTTGCGATATAGCCCATGATGTTATATGTGTCCCACTTTAGTCGGCTGGACAGTTCCCAATATGTAATTCCAAATCCTCTTCTAGTGAGGTCCGAATCTGGATCGTATATATCTAAATTGTTAAACTGATTTAGTATAACAAATTTACAATAATTTTTAAATTCTATTTTTACATATACTTTACTAATATTATATTATCAATATAATGAGGATAATCTAACAATTAGTTGATTTATTTAGAATCTTTTTTTAATACAAAATAGGTGGGTTAGTAACAAATTTGATGAATATATATAATTGATTTTTAGAAAAACTTATGTTAATCAAATTCGGTCCAAAACATCCATGTCCATCCCTTTTGGAATATACATACAACAGATCGAGATATATGGGCCTATAGTCTATTTTCGGAAATATGGACCGGATCTGGGCTCTTGGAAATACTCAAATTAAGGAGTGTGTTTTGTTGGAAATAGATAATGTTTGTAATTTCTTTTCAAGAGGGAATTCGTCTTTTTAATTTTTCGATAGATGCCTACAATGGTTGTGGTTTTTTTTTTTCTTCTCCTTTTTCCCCTTTTTTATCATGCGAGCGGCATGTGTTTTTTATTTTTGGTTTTTAACCCTCGTCGTGGTCATTTTTGGGAAAAAAAAATTTAGGACCCCAATCTCTTTGGTATTTTTACTAATCCAAGGGTGTAAATGTCCTTTGCCTAGTAACTCTCTCTTAGCCGACATTATTTGATTGACTACGGTGGCACAAAAATATAACAAATTAGGAAGTATACTGAAAAACACACCAAATTTTGAAAAAATTACATCATGTAACTCTAGTTTTAATTACCTTTTTTGGGCATTTAGGAATCCAACATAGTGACCCTTCTTGTATCATCAATTTGATAATTTGGATTT